TCATATCAGCTGTCAGTGGTTATGGAGGCCATGCAGCCAAGGCCAACTGGAATGCTTGTTGCCATATTTCTTTTTGTTGCAATATCGTCATGATCTCTGCTTTGATTTGTTGTTATGAATTCAGTTCTCTATTTTGTTTTGTAATGTTCCAGAATAAAGCACAATAAATAAGTAAGTAATGGATGTATTTAATAGTGACAGTGAATAAAAAATATACTGTTGTACATGGACTCAGGTCACTTATTTGGAATTTATTCAATTCAATGGCATTCATGTAAAATATTCAAAGGTTTTATAAAATAACTAGTGTAAAATAAATTACAGTAAAAGTGCTGTAATATTATTATACTGTAAAACTAAGTTACAGTAAGGATATAAGGATATAGTACTGTAAAATTAAGTTGCAGTAAGGGTATTTCACTGTAAAATGACATTGCGGTAAAGCCATCATACTGTAAAATGAAATTGCGGTAAGGCCATCATACTGTAAAATGAAATTGCGGTAAGGGCATTATACTGTAAAATGAACTTGCAATAAGCTACTGTAAAGGGGTAGTTACAGTAACTTACTGGCAATAGTGCTGCCAGTAAGTTACCGCAAAAATACAATAAAAAGTCTAACAGTGTACCTCCTGTAAATTATGTAAGTTTACAGTGACATTACATACCTTTACTTTACATACAGTACATTTAAATTAAGATGTGAATATTTTCTAGAAATAAAAATTCCATAAACTAATTTTGAACTTTCTGTATTTGATTTTGGTAACACTTTATTTCGATAGTCCACTTTAGACATTCTATTAACAGTAAGTAACTTTGCAACTACATGTCAACTAGCAGTTAGTAGAGTACACTTTATTTAACCTTTTCTGACAAGAAGTGTGCACTGCAAACGCGAACATTTTTGACTATCGTTTCTGTCCAGTCTGCTCGTTTTATCACATTTAACCACAGCTGTCGTTCAGTTTTTTGTCTGTCGGTGGCACAACCCTCTACATTGCGAGTAAATCACTCGCATATGCGACTAAATCTTACTCTGGGCGACTAAATAATGTCTAACATTAGCCATTGGCTAATAAATTCTTAGATTTTACACGCCAGTATGAGTGTGAGAGGCGTTCAACACAGATTTTCACTCGATAAACACGCTGACTGAGCGCTTGAGAGTTTCACTCTCCGTCAAACGATCTGTACTATTTGGATGCGCTCAATATGCTTTAAAATTTTAAATTGGAGCCTCTACTTCGTCGATTCCACAATAAGACGATATTTTAAGCTCCTTATGTAGCTGAATCTGCGCTGGCTTGAATTGGCCGCCTCCAGTTTCCCCTTTGTTTTGCCTCCAGCTAGCGCGGTGACATAATTGTGACGTTGGTCCTAAAAGGGTCTATAGACCAGTTCGGAGTAGACGTCACAGTTACATCACTTGCAGCTGCGCGCGCATTGTGGTGGCCTAAAAACACTGGGAGCAAGTGGAGGGAAACGGGTAAAATCCATGGAATAAGAGAAAAAATTTATTGTTGTGCCTTTGGATGTCAGAATCGGAATGCAAATAATTTTTATATAATACTGTCGTCAAAGACGCCATTTGAAGCTAAACGCAGACCTTTAAACGGACAAACTATGGATGAAACCTGCTATGATTACCCTATTTTAAAAAGCATACATTTGATTTAAACAATAGGTCTATATAATATTCATATAGGGGACATATTGTATTAGCCCTACAGTTGAAATACATGCATGAAATACTATGTAAACCTATAACATTTTCTGCCACCAGATAGGCTCCGCCCACAAAAACGTCATCACTGTTTGCAAACACTGAAATTGGTCTATTGATTTTGTGCTCACTCTCTCTCTTTCCTCTTCTATATTCAGCCTGGAAATCTTTAAAATACATTAGTAAGGCTAAATAATGCATCATTGATAGAGTCAGAATGTTGGATGCTGGCATATAGACATTACCTATAATAGTCCTTCATGACACTGCTCATCTAACTAGAACTAATGAGCCTTCCTCTGTGACATCATCACCCAGAGTCCCACAGCAAACCCTCACCCTGGCACAACCGGCCACTTCTGATGCCAACATGCTGTCAAATCCAACTTTTCTCAGCCCTCTAGTCCAGAGACATTGGAAATGGTCACAGCGAATGTCCTAAAGCTAATTATATATAAAAAAAACTGACAATGTGATTTCAGTGGAACATGTGCTGTATGGGTGTGGATTTCATTAGAGGGTCCCCAGTGTCATTGCTATTCATAATATTGAGTAAAAAAGGGAAAAAATCCCCAGTCTATCATATATAAAAATGTCATACTCCATAGACAGGATGAGGTCCAGACTTCACCCTATTATTCACAATTTTAATGACTAAATACGATTGTGCAAGATCGATGGCAACTGCATATCTGCATGGGAATTCTGGGCAAGAATGACACAAGTGACAGAAAAAACCTCTCTTTAACTCTAAGGCGTCATTAACATGCATCATGGCCTATGACTTTCCTACAGTAATAAGAATCCAATCTCTGATGAAACTTGAGAAAAAAAATTACACTATGACTTCAGATAAAAAAAACAACAACTAAGTCTGAGAGTTTTTTCAAACATTACTCACCTAGGTGTCTCTAAAGTACACGAGGGTTGAAAGAGAAGAACCTCAGAGGTGCACAAAGCTGTCATGTCATGTGTGCAGACTGGCAGGCTGGAGAACATGTTCACTGGACACCACTGTGCGGTTTCAGAGTGACAGGGAGCCCTGTGTCGCTGATGGAGGCAGTGCCAGAGGGCATAGCCCATTGCTTATTCCCACAAACCCCACCGGCCTTCAGTGAGAAAGGTGGCTGAATGGAAATGCTGGCTTTATACACACCTGTAAGCTGCTGTTATCACAGCCACCTGCCAATCTTGTGTCGCTTTATGCTGTCTGAACTTTTAAGTCCCTCACAAAGTAATCAATCTGGTTATATTACACAAAACCAAGCAAAACACAACTATTTATAGTTGTTGAACAGACCATTCTACTAAATACTGTACGTTCTATGGGGAGAGGGCATTGAAGGGATAGTTCATCCAAAAATAATAATTCCATCATCCTTGACTCATCCTCAAAATAGACTTTAGACACAAAATAAGATATTTTGAGGAATGAGTGGGTTGCAATTTTGAATTCTATGGTCATTAACAATTACATTAAATATAATAATAACAATTAATAATTTAATACTATAGAAATAATAATCAATAATATAGAAAACAATTAAATTAAATATTTAATAAATATTTAAATCTAATTTTATACAAATTTAATATAAATATAATTTTATTAAAAAATACAAATACACTAACAACTTCAACTTCAAGACATTTAAATGAATTTATAAAATCATTCTAAGTTTGAGAAATTGATATGAATTTTAAGATTATATGTACTATTCATATTATTAGTGTTTTTTAACATTAGGTGGATGATGGCAAAGGTCATCTAAATTAGAAAACAGGAAATTTTCAATATCAGCTGATATATATTATCATCCATGTTATTTTAGTATTATTTAAATACTATTATAATGTTTATTAATATTCTAAACTAGATTTAATATTTTATTTTTTATTTTAACTTTAGTTTAAGTTTTAGTAATTTTATTATTATATTTGTTATATATTCAAATATTAATTTATTTTCATTTCAATTTTTTTGTTTTGTCATTTTAGTATTTTAGTTCAGTTTCAAAGGCAAAATTTCTAGTTCAAGTGTCTTTTTTTTCATCTAATATTTATATTTTATTTTAGCTTTTAGTTTATTTCAATAACCACACTGATATCAATGAATAAATAAATAAATCTCTAAAATGTCTGATGGCCAACAATCAGTATTGTAGTGATATATTGCCACCCTTACATAAAATATATGAAAGTTATCACAGAATACTGACCCAAGCCAAGCTATGACAGAATTTTTCGGTCATTCTTTGGTCAACTGTTGCTTTGAGGTAAACTGCCACATATGTACATGAGCTCTGCTTGACAGAATAATCAACAAAAATTATGCATGTAGACATGCCAAGAACACCAATTTATTCATGCATAGGCAATACTGTATCTCCTCAAGGAAGAAAGATTTGTATGGAGCTTACACTGTGCCTCTTAGAAGAATTTGTAATACGAGGCATAGTTACAGTACCAATTAATATTACAATATTTTGTGTACATAATAGAGCCCAGTGACTCATTGAGCTTGGAAATAACATGCAATTTAAAGCCTTTAAAATCAGACCCACGAACTCCCACAGCGAGGCTCATATATAAAACATCCATTTGGATCTGAATTTGCTCTCCCATGAGAGCCTATCACAGCAACAAAAAAACAAGCAAAAAATGCTTTTGACGCACAATTAGCAGTGGTTTATTTCTTTCTGCTTTCTCCCTCATAAAATAAACAAATAAATAAAACCATGATTTCGTTCTGTCAAAGATGCCAAACTAATCATCAGAGACGTCCTATGAGGACACGGAAACTTCCGTTTTAATTAAATAACATTTTCAGTGAGTGATGAGGAACAAACTGAAAATAATAAACATGTGAACTGTGCACATATCACCGAGATAAATCACAGCGTTGTCACATCTGTTGTAGATTTTCGCTCAATTAGTCTTAAGCACATAGTGTTTTCCAAAGCACAGTTTGGCATAATGGGATGAGCCGTTGTAGCCCAGTAATTCACGCAATAATTCCCGGCTGGAGTTATTGAAGTAAGGACTCTGCGGTGCCATAATATAGTGTATGAATGTTTATTGGAATGACACAAAACTATATTAAGTCTGAGCACCTGTGAAATTGAAGTTTGTAATATATTGTTTGCATAAAAAGCAAAGGCCAAAGAGTGTTCATTGAGGAATTGTGATGAAAGAAAAAGGGGTTGTTCATTCTGCAAATGACACATTGGTGGGTGTTAATATATGCATATGAGCAAAAAAAATGAAAATTTACCTCCTCTTTTGTTTAGCTTGGCATATCCAGGTGCATAGCCACTAGTGAACACAGAGGAGCTGGTGAAGGCATTATGGGGGAGTGGTGTGACCAGAGCTTCATCACATTTTTCTATCGAAGAAAAAGAGAAAAGACATTAAAATCACATGAAATAACAACATAAAGCAGTGAAGCAGCACTTCAATTTCAAATCTATCTGTTTTAGGAGAGTAAAAGTACCCACAAGATGAGGGAAGAAATGAGAGAAGCCAATGTTTACTGAGCTGAGATGCCCATCATGCAAGACCTTTTCTGACTGCAGACTCTATTAACAGCGTCATATTAAAGAGTCAAAGCATTTGGACGATGGATGCTGTGCTCCCGCTGGTCATTACTCAGGTCTAAGGGCTTCACGGTTACAAGGCTAAATGCCAAGGCAAGAGATCTTTTCCAGTACATATGGAGAAAATTAGCACTGAAATGAACTAGTTATCACTTTCAAGATGTGTGGACTGTTGTAAAGATGTAATGATGCCAATTATTAAGTCACAAACAGTTTATCAACTGTTGATCAATTTCAGCAGAAACAACAGAAAGGTGTTAAGTAATACAAGCAGTGGGTGGGTGACACATACGCATAACACGCCCTCAAATTATAAAAATGAAACAGTCTTGGCATATATTTAACAGTGCATCTCTATAAATAATGATTATGTTCACTGCAAAAACTGATAGAGGTAAATGGCAACAAGCCCAGTGTGGCTGCGTGTTATTATAAAATCAAAAAAGACAAAAGTGATGTTTTACGTTTGCTGAAAAGCAGAGTTATTCAAAAACAGAGAATGAAAGATGTTGGAAATTTTCAAAAATTATACATTGTTATACACAATATATCATTTTATTTTATGTATTTATGTATTTTACGTTTTGCATATTTTATATTAAATGTGAATCAATATAAATAAATCTAATTAAAATTAATTATAATATATTAGATATAATAATTAGTGCTGTCAATCAATTAAATATTAACAAATTAACCACACATTTTCTGTAATTAATCGTGATTAATCACATAATAATACTATTATACACTGTATAACAAAATGTATGTGTACACACACACACACACACTGTATATACACACATACACACAATTTGAAAATGTAAAAAGATAATGAAATTGCAATACCTACATGCCCATAAAAACAAGTTGCATACGGTATCTGGTACATGTTTAGCAATTTATAAAATTGAAAAAAAAAAAATCAACCATGTAAATTCCTAAAAATGTACATTCTTAATGTGTGGTATACTCTGGTCTCCTTTCTTTATGTGTAAACTGGTGTTTATAGCATATAAGCGAATGAAAATCATAACGAGGCAATGAGCGACAGTTTAGATATTACAAAACAAAGTGCAACTGTATGCAAATAAGCAGTGAAACAACTCAAAAAGTTCCAAACTGTGTACAAAAATCTGCTTTCATGCTATTGTTCTGTCTCAGACAAATAGAGACAACAGGGTATGCCAAACTGGACAAATATCCCAGTGATGAATGGCAAAAAATGATACGGCATATGCAAAGACAGCTTCCAGACACAAACTGTCCCAGAAGAGCCCCAGCAGACGTGACTGATAGCGGCAGTTTGGTGTATTCAATATGAAAACTCATCCACTATATTTGCTTTCAGCCATTCACTCAATCACTAACCCTGGACGGAGAGAGGACGTGTTCATATGTGAGGAGGGTAGAGACAGCTGATGTCTGATTCTAATGAGCATCTGCCATGTTCAAACAATATTCAGCTGTTTGTCTCCAAATCCCCAGTCAAATCAGTCTTTTGACCAGGACTATCAAACAGAAATGCATCTCGCACAGATGGCTGTCCAAACTGAGATCTACGTCTTCTATGTTTCTCATTCTCACCAGACAGTCCCCATTACCCAGAGTACACCCTGTCATGCGTTCCTTCTCTACCTGTTGGTGGATAGCAGAAGTACCCAATTACAGTTGACATTACAGTGTCAAACCGGCATAATTACTGTCATCTGCATCGCATTACGGGGACAGATAGAAAACAAGCAATTAATAATTTAGGACAATAAAGCATTATAGTTTCTCTTGAGAACCGAGTGCTAAAACATGCAGACTTGCTTCAGGGATTGAAGATAAACTTCCAATCAACTATGTCAGTTGAGTTTAAGACACAGAGACATCTGAAGTCAATAATGGGTACTCTGTTCTAGTCAAGTCATTTTATTTATGTCACTTTAGACATTACAGATTCTTTCAAAGCAGCTTGACAGTATTAAGGAAAATGACTATCATGATCCAAACTTCATCAAACATGAGGCAAATTGAAGTTCTGCTGTAAATCAACTCTAAAAAGCCAATAATGTCATTATTCAGCTCAAGTCAGTTCAGTTTTGATTTGGTTCAGTTCAATGACTGTGTAAAGTTCATTAATTATGATCACTACCATTTAAAAGTTTGTTACTGGTGAATATTGGTGAATATTGGTATTATTGGTGAAGGCTGTGTTTATTTAATGAAAAAGTAGTGAAATATTATTAACATTTAAAATGACTGTAAATACATTTTAAAATGTAATTATTTCTGTGATGACTAATTTGGTGCTCAAAAAAACATTAAAAACAGTGGTGGAATAATATTAGTAATATTATTAATATTTTTTTGTGGAAACTGATACATTTGTTTTCATTCTTTGATCAATCAAAACTTCAAAAGAAAATTATTTGAAATCAAAATATAAATATTTTGTAACATTCTAAATGTCTCTACTGTCGCTTTTGATCAATTTAATGAAAAACTTACTGACAATTTTGATTGGTTACTGAAAACTCAAATAGGGCTATAATATCATATTGTACTAAAGGTCTGTGGTTGTTTTCCCTGAATACAGTTCAGCAAGAGAAAGAGAAAGAGAACTTATAAAAAGACTATGCACAAGGGATGTGTAGCTTAGTGGTTAAAGTCTTGGCTAACAACCAAAAGGTTGTAGGTTCAGAGTCCTGCCAAGAGCCATCATCATTACGTCCTTGAGCAAAACTATTAACCTCAGGACATCAGGGGGATTCACCATCTAATAAACGGACTGGATGTTTGGATAAAAGTGTCAGCTAAATGACAAGGTGGGCAATGCAAAAACCAGAAGTATGCCAAGGCTCAAAGATCTGGCCTGTACTAGCCGATAACACAGTTTAAAAAGAACTGATCAAGTCTTTAATTCACTGAAAGTGAAAAGTCAAAGAAGGACTTACTGGTGTGTCATTATAGTTACACTTTCAGGGTAAATCATTGTGGAATAAGCCAGCTAAAGATTTTCCAAAGCTATTTCGATCATTTATGACTATGCCTTTATGAGCGTCCCAATCCATTACTTGTCGAGCGTCACTGCTGTCACAGCACTATAATTCTCTTTATAGATCCTTGTGTTGGAAATTTATGTGGCATTATTAGTTTTGAAACTGTGATGGTCATAATTTTGACACAGAAAGCACAAAGGACTGTTTGACTTGCAATCACCACAAAGGAGCATCCAGTATCAGCTTAGACGAAGGAAAACAGGCTCTGATTCTCTGAGGTAAATCTGGGGAGCTGAAACAGCAGAAATCAGATGAATCGTATATCAGGATCGTGGCAAAGACACATTACTGAGAGACCTGCAAATCGTTGTTCAATCCTAAAACAAATTTCACCATATTCCAGGGAGGAAGACGAAAGAGAAGCATGTCACAAAATAGATTTACTTGTCCATGTGACATTTTCCTCCGTGCAAATACCTCTGCCCTGAGCAAATAGCACAGCTGTCTCTGACACTCAACCGCAGAATGACCAAAATCATGAGATATCTATTCATTCATATCATTATTCATTCACAGTGTGTCAGCTAATATTACAAACCGAGCAAAAAGGAACTACATTTTTAAGATGCATGTAAGTCTGTACTATGCTCATTATCTTTGTTTATATAGTGTTGTATTGGCCATTGTGTAGGAGTGTTCAAGATATGCTATTTTTAAATAATTTTCCCTATCCATTGTTCTTTAACCAAAACTCTACATACAGTACTGTACATGAGTATTAAGAACAGATCTTCCGTGGGAAACACTGCTTGTTGTTATTGGTGAGTTATGAGTCCGATTCACCTTGCCTGAGGAAGGCACATCACTTTAATAGCCAGCATGGTCATTATCTCATGGTTCTCTCATTCACACCGCTCTCCAGTCCTGCCAAGACTGTCTTTTTCCCAAAGCAGTTAAAGCCTGTTTTATGTAAAATTAGTTTTCTCACAGTATGCGTGCCACGATAACAGTGAAAGGCACCTGTGCAATGTTCTGGTGATTAGATTGAATCCAGGAAATGCTATAATATACAGGGATCTTTATGCATCTCCCTAATCAATTTACAAGCGGAAAAGATTGAAATATTCTATATAAACATCTACAGGCTGACTCACATCAGCACATCATTACATTAGCCCAAACATTCGTCTTTATGTGTTGTTGTCTGCCCTTAAAGAAGTCATCTAAAAACAAGGAACACAAACATATATGCGTAGACTGAACAGCCACAACATTAAACCTAGGGATGCACGATATTGGATTTTTGCCGATATCCGATATGCCGATAATTTTCAACTCATTTTGGCCGATAGCCGATGCTGATACCGATATATAATTATTTTTAATTTTGGTTAGTTTTTAACAAGAACTTATTTGTTAGAATTAAATAAACAATAATAAAGTTATTTTATAATGACAGTACATTGAAGATTTGAAAATAACTATATGTAAACTATATATTAATCACTGCATTTTTTTCCAGAAAGATGCAGTGGTAACCTTAGCATTTTATTTTATGATTTAACATTTGTAAATGGTCTAAAGCAAAAATTCACACCGCTCTCCAGTCCTGCCAAGACTGTCTTTTTCCCAAAGCAGTTAAAGCCTGTTTTATGTAAAATTAGTTTTCTCACAGTATGCGTGCCACGATAACAGTGAAAGGCACCTGTGCAATGTTCTGGTGATTAGATTGAATCCAGAAAATGCTATAATATACAGGGATCTTTATGCATCTCCCTAATCAATTTACAAGTGGAAAAGAT